AGATGTCGCCCTGCCACCTTCCCTCACCTGAGCCCCTGGGTGCATTTAGCTGCTGGTTTAGAGGGCATTAAGTGACCAGTGGAGGAAGTCAGGGCACCCAGGACTGAAGGGTGAGGAGAGAGAGTGAGAACAGGAAGTGCAGGAGCTGGGCAATGGTGAGACTCTGTGTCTGCTCTGCGCATGAGGGGCACCACTCGAATATTCTGGCAGCATAAATCCCGTCTCCCACCGCACAGCAACACCCAGACAGTAGAGGGCCTGCATAGCCCCTGGGCCCTTCTCCACCAGGGATGGAGCAGCACAGTGGGAAAAGACGCAGCTTGGAGGCTGGCTTCTGTCCTGGCTACGCCCCTAAGCAGCTGAGGGACCCACCTCATTGGTGAAGAGGTGAAATCCGCTCCCTCTTTGTGAGGATGACGGACAAGCAATGCTCCAGGAAGCCCCTTGATGGTAACAGACAGGCTGAATGAGTTATGGAGCATTTGAATCTGAATTTCTCCTTCTGAATAAAGTAGAAACCCAAAGGGAATAGACAAGGTGTTAAGTTTTCTCCTGTGTGAAAAATTTTAGGAATGCTCTTTGATTTCCCTCTTTCCCTAAACAAGCCGACACTTGCCACCCCAGGCCTCCAGCCCCGTCCAATCCATCAGCAAGTCCTGTGGACTCCAAAACACGTCCGTCCCAGCCACTCCTCCCTCTAGCTCAGGGCACCATGGGTTCCTGCCGGGTCCTCTGAAACACCTCCTTCTTGGTCTCCCTGCCTCCATCCCTGTCCCCATCAAATCCATGCTTCCCCAGAAGCCAGCATGATCTTGTTCAAAACACGAATCAGGTCACATCGCTGTGCAGCTGTAAAACCTCTCAGTACACTTTTAATAAAACACAAATTCCTTACTGTCCCTGCCTTTCCCTGACCCCTGTCTGGATGGCAGTCTCCTTTACTTAGCCTCAGCCATACAGCCGGCCTTCTTTCTGCTCCACAAACAAGCCCTGCACAGTCGACCCCAGGACCTTTGCACTAACTCTCCCCTCAGCTTTGGGTCGCTCCCATTCCTGAGGCTTCCTCCCGTTCACAGCTCAGCCTAGTGTTCACACCCTAAGTAGCCTCTCCCGACAACTTAGTCCAAATCGACACTCGCCAGTCCCCATCAGAGCTCTCCCTTTTCATTCCCTGCTCGGTATTCATCGCTATCTATTTTCCATTTTCCTTTACTGCTTTGTCTGTTTTCTGTCCGGCCTCCCCTGCATAGCCCAGGAGCCCCTGAGAGCACAGCCCTCATCTTTTCATGGCTTGTCTTCGGTACTTAATAACAGTGCCTGACACAGAGCAGACAAGCCATAAGTATTTGTTAAATGAATGAAAACATGGAGGCAGAAGCAACACCTGTAATCCCCGCCACGCGCTGCCTTATACAGAAGGATGTGCATTTTCAGAGTATTTGTCACCTTTACACAATTTAGAAAAACGCATTTTTGCTCCCCCCCCCCCTGTTAGTAACTCTCTCCTACCTGCCATGTGGGTCAGGTGGAAGGACCCTGTCTCCTTCGAGCTTCAGGCAGTCTCCACCCTTGGGGGGACATTTCACTCAGCTGAGACCTGTCTCTCTCTAATACTCATCCATCAGTTCATGAAATCACCAAAAAAAAAAAAAAACCCTTTTGTATGTCTGGCAGGTCCGTGAAGATGAAGCCCTAAATAAGAAAGGAGGGGCCAGGGGCAGAGGCCTGGACTCTCGGCCCAGTGCTGCTGCCCATCGAGGAGAATCCTGTCCCTTCTCTGGACCTCCGTTCACTCACCCATAAAAAGAAGGAATTGATCCTGGGGAAACGGCTGCCAAAATGTAGGTGAATGTGTCTGTTCATGCCAGGGAAGGATGGGCTGCCATAGAAGTAAATTTTAAGGAAAACTTGAATGACAAAGGAAATTGATTATGGTAAATTCAGGAATCCAAAATATAAACATGATTCAAATTATGTAGAAAAGTTTTAAGTTACTTGGGAAAATTTTGAATGAATAGAGGTATTGTCTTTTTATTGGGGGATTATGTATGGCTTTTATTTTCATCTTTCCTTTCTCTTTATTCTCTAAATTGTAATCAATAAGCATATAAGACTTCACAGCCCCTCCTCCCAAAAATTAATAAACCAAAAATGAGAGAAGTTAACCAGGTGCTTGCTGAGCTCCCTCCTGGCCCCGACAGCCTGTGATCGCAAGTTGAGGGGCTCACGGTGGTTGGAGGATCTTCCAGTGCCTCTTGGTGTGGGAGTGAGGGTGGAGACGGAGGGGCAGATCTGGGAGGGCCCCTCTGCACATCGCGCTCCCTGGACCCCAGGGCTGCACTTAGCTGTGGGTTTGGCAGCCAAATGAGGCCAAACAAGGGACGTTGGGATTTTGCTTGAACTCTGGGGGAAGAGGTCTTCTGTCATCATTGAGCTTGTTACGTGGAACTGTCAGAAGCACCATCTTTGCCACCCCACGGGGAGTGTATGTTTGTGAATAAAATCAACTGAAAAAAAAAGCAGACCTGAGAGATAGAGAAAACCAACCAAACAAACAAACATGGATAACCAGTGATTTCTGTTGACTTTGTCGAACCCCTGGATCATGCTGGGTCAGAAGCACAATCATATTTTAATGCTCCTGCTTACCTGTCCCAATAAATTTCCTTTCTTGTCTAAACCAGTGTGAGATGCGTTTGTCACAATAGATCTGACTCATATGCACAGCTTGTCACCCAGACGTCCTGCTGTTGCCTTTCTTGGGAGCCCTCCACAAAGGACAGTGAAGTCCACCTGGACGGGACTATAGGGCCTTTTCTCGCGTGCACGGCTAACTGGGGACAGGTCCCACAGGGAACGTCTACTCACTGTCCCCACGAGGGGCCCTCGGGCTTTGATTCTGGGAAAAAGTGAGAGACTTACAGGCCTCTCTGTGCAAATTATCCAGTCATGATTGCAATGAACTGTCCTGTGAGAGCAGAGCAATGCTGGAATGAGTCCTGGAAAAGATGCAACTTATTTCCACAGAGTGTGGGACTGACCGTCACTTCCCACCCTACAGCTCCATCTTAGCTTCAGTCTTTAGCTCAAGCCCTTGGCCTCGTCCCCGTGTAGTCCAGGGCAGACCAGGCTGGCAGTCATGGGGCCTGGAGGGATGCTCTCGGTGCGCTCACCAGGTGAACACTCTGCCTGCGGTGGGCCCGTGCACTTGTAACGCTCAGCTTTCTGAGCTGCAGCCGCCTGATTCCCTGAGTGCTGGTGTCAGGGCCCCAGATCCCTGCTTTGGTTTCCTGGCGTTTGTTTTGTCTCTCACAGGTTTCCAGTCCGGGGGAGGACCACGAAACTGTTGGAAGCCTTTGAGCCTTCCCCAGGGGTGGATGCTCTTTCTTTCCACCTGCAGTTGGATGAGGTTCTCTCTCCTGTGCGCCAGATGCTGGGCGCACCCGCTGACAAAGCTATAGCCTCTGTGCTCCAGCACCAATTAGTGGGGGGTGAGGACAATTACAGTCCAATTCCGTGAGAGAAACAACACAGGGCACTTTCAGGCAAGAAGAGAAATACCCAAATGAGCCTCAGGATGCTTTTTAGAGGAAACTACAGCTAAGCTTAGTCTTGAACAATGAGAACGGTAGTACAGGTTGCTGGAGCGCATGTTAGAGGCTGAGGATCTGGACGAAGCAGAGGCATCATGATGACAACATCGGGAGCCAGCAGGAAAATACAAGCCCTGAGTATGTGCTGCGTGAAGCGTGGAGCAGGACTCTCTGGAAACAGGCCAGAGAGGCAAGGGAGAGCAAGAGAATGAAGGCCCCAGAGGCTGGGATCAGCCTAGGAGGTCATAGGAGGGACCTTGAACACAGCCCTGAAGGCAGAGACAAGGCAACATGGGGATTGGATCAGGAAAATAGTCGTATTTGCTTGTCCAAGAGTTCAGCTGGAGGTGCGATTTGGATGAATCTTCTGGTTACTGAAACCAGAGTATCTGCCTGATCCTGAGCATTTCTAATGCCAGACCCCACCCTGTGATCAGACATCTTGGAGGTTGGCCCCAACTTGGGTGTGGCTCAAGGCTATCATATGCATTCCGCCATTGTGACGGGATTTTATCCAGACTGTTCCAAAAATGCCCTCATCCCAAAGACCGGGGTTTACCCCTGTCTGCTCTCCATCCCTTGGACCTGTCACTGGGGTCTCACTTAACCCGAAGCTCAGGCCCGCGCTGCCGCAGTGCCCACACGAGCCTCACAGTTGCACAGACCTTAACTAACGCAACCATCACAACACGAAATTTTGCTCTGTTCGTTTTGCAAATGCTCCAAAAGGTTAGCCAGCTTCTCTGAGACTACAGCCTGGGCTGTGGTCTTTCCAAGTTTACCCATTTTGCTGTCATTTTTTCTGTTCCAAGGCATTGAGTCCACAATCAGTTTCTAAGCTTGCCACACACCGGACCCTGTGCCCAGGCTCAGCACACAAAGGCAAATAGAACCCAGTTCTGTCCCCCACGGAGCTGGGACCTGTCGCAGCAAATATTCAACCAAGAACCAAAATGCGGAGAGGTTACGAGATTTTTTCCAACACCACACAGCTTCCTGGTCACCCCAGAACAGGCTCTGAATTAGAACTCAGCACGCCAGACCCCAGTCCTATTCTGTTGCCCCCATCCAGCATTCATCTGGAGGCACCGGGAGAAATCACCTCTGGGACGTGCATTCAGACTCCCCTCTGCTGCCGCCGCCGCAGCTGAGGGTCTGAGGTAGCATTCCTCATCAGCTAGATGCTCTTGGAAACCGGCTCCTTGATTTGAGAGGTGGCTTTCTGACCAAACTGCATGAAGAGCCTGGCTCATGCTTTTTAAAAAGGAATTAGGGAAATGGCAAAAGGCATTCAGCAATCAATCTGTCTGATAGCAGCGTCCAGCCCCGGCAGAGTGACTTTTCCCCAAACACACGGCAGAGACAGGACCACACAGCCAGCAGCCAAATCCCAGAGCCTCGTCTCACCTGAGCAGGGTCTCGCCTGGGCTGCCTTTGTTACAGCAGCAGTGGGCTCCCAGCCGGGAGAGTCCCGTGTTCCACCGTGGCTTGTCTGGGAAGCACCAGGGCAGCTCCTAGTATCCTTTCATGAGACAGTCGTCAAAGCATCCTCCGGGCTGCAGAAGGAAACCTGGATTTGGGAACCTTCTTCAGGGCTGGCAGGGTGGCTTGGCACCTCCTGGCACGACCAGCCACGTCCGAGCTCCAGCCAGACTGCTGACCTGGCACCGGCGCTGTGTGATATAACGCGCGCGCACAGGGAGACTTTAACTGTCTCGTCCCCAAGCTCGGAGCCCTTGAGTCTCTGTAAGATGCAGGCTCCTGCGAGGCCACTGTTCTGACACCTCAGCTTCCCTCTGCCAGGGCGCTGGCCATTCCGGGGTTCACAAGCCAACCCTGCATGAGATGCCAGCCAGGAATGTATCATTTTTAGCAAAGTAATTATTAATCCCAAGGCCTCTGTTTAAGTGCCTCTCTTTTATTAGTAAGCCAATTAAAATATGTTTTCAGCATTAAGATTATTTGTAAAGATTCTAGTGTTTTTCCATAAATACCTATCAATTGAAGTCATTTTATTCTTTAAAAAAAAAAAATCCAGCAGCCATTCCTTCAGTCCTGGATAACATGTTGTTCTCATTTAATTTATATGACTTTAACCTCCATATGGAAAGGATATGGCTGACTGGGGAGACATGGAGATTTTAAAAAATGTAACTGCATAGGAAGTTAACGCACGTTAGAATACGGATTATGTTGTTGGAGGAACACGAGACACAGGGAAGGAGGGCACAGGATGGGGGCTGGGAGACCGGGGTTCCAGTTCCAGATTTGAAGCTCACTTAGCTGGGCAGGTTTGTGCAAGCGGTTTGGTTCTCGGCTTCAATACCCTCCTGGGCTTGAAAGCAGTTAGACTAGGTTGATTGCCAAAGTCCCTTCCAGCATCAGTGCTCGCGTAGTTTTTCTTTTCTGGAGCCAAGAAAAGAGAAGCTATCTACTTGCAGTTTTAGAGGCAGTGTGATCATTAGCTGAGGTGGCCATTAGAACCCCTGGAGAGTCATGGGCCTCGACTCATCACCTGCCCCTTCTGAGCTCTGTAACTTGGACAAATCTTGGAAAAGATGGGTGTATCTTGATCCACAATATGAGAAAGTATTACCTGCCACCTGGGCTGATACAGTTGCTGTAAGAATTAAATGAGTTGTTATAGGCGAAACCACCTCGAACAGTGCTCACTCCCTGGTCTGTGCTCGGTATATGGTCCCTGTGATTATTACCCTATTCTGTGGTCCTGAGTCCGCCACAGCTTTTGTGCTCTTGTAATAACTCTCCAGTACTGGATATGCAAATTCCTTGTTGTATACACTTAAGAGTCCCGGCCTTATTGATGTAGGATCTTGCTGATGCTTGTGCACGTAAGGCCACATCTTTGTGTTTAGGAGGCAGGACCATGCCTTAACAAAAACAGACAAACAAAAAGCATTTGTTGAGCGTTTACTATATGCCAGGGCATTCAGTAAAGAACTTTTTCTATATTATCTTCTGTTTCAGGGCACCAAGTAAAACTTTTTCCCTTCAAAAACCCTTTAAAATATCTACAATCATAAAACAAGTTAATAGTAATGTAGAAAAGTTACATACTTTGACCAAAGTAGTAGATCTGGTTAGTGGTGAGTCCACGATAGGAACTCTGGAAGTCTGACTCAAAACCCTCCCAACGGTGAAGTCATTCATCATAGAAATTACCTGAGGAAAAGGAGGATTTCTACCAGAAAGCAGAACCCGAGACGAGGCTTTACGTTGGAGGGAGGGATGGCTTGGCCTTTTTCTCTTCAGTCTTTCTTTTTTCATGATCTCCGACATTTTATTGGTTCAGGGACCTTAGAAAAATTTTTTAAGTATGGATCCAGAAAATATTTATTGATATATTAATTAAATATATTTCATACTGAATAATAATAATAAATAGTGATGACAACAATAACAAGTGAGGACCTGAACCGAGAAGGAAGGTGTCTTTCTGCCTCCAGCCCTTTTCGGGGTCCCTCCACTGACCTCTGTTGATGAAGCTTAGCATTCCTCCAGCCAGCAAAGGAGACATGTTTACAGGGTACAGCTCCAGGAGCACAAAGCAGGGAACGAAGGGTAGACGTGGAGCTGAAAGACCATCCATGATTACCGGCACACGATCCAAAGATAAACGCTTGAGAAGGGGAAACGCAGAGGAGCCGCCTCTCCTTACAAGAAGAGTCCTGATCCATGGGCCACCTCGGAGGTTTTGCGTTTCAGGATGAAAAAAAAAAAAAAAAAAAAAAACAGGAAAAAACAACGACAAAAGCCTCCTTCTCTCCGCTAACCTATCTGCCCTCTTCACTTTCATGAAATCAAAAAATTGTACTGACCTGTCCAATATGTCGGTCAAGGTGCCAAACATATTTGATAGGTATTGGAAGACATCTTTATGTCCATCTTGAGTGTTCATTCCCCAATAAAAGGGACCTCAGAGTCCTTCTAGTCAGTTCCTACCAGTTCTGGGCATTATTAAATTTATACATTTCAGTCTAGGTTTTTTCATATAACTTGACACAAGCTTTTCCCCTTTCAGTGTGAGTTCTTTGATGAGTCCAGGCCAGCTAATGACGTCCTACCCTGTTCCACCTCCATTTGTTCCACACACTTCCATTATTACACAGAAGTCACCCTGATACAATCGTTCATTTACACACACAGTTGCCCCCTTATCTGCTGCAGATCCCAGTGGATGCCTAAAACCACAGATAGTACTGATCCCTATATATACTATGATTTTTCCTATATATACATACCCATGATAAAGCTTAATTTATAAATTCGGCACAGTAAGAGATTAACAACAATAACTAATAATAAAATAGAGCAATTATAACAATATATTGTAATAAAAGTTATGTGAATGTGGTCTCGCTCGCTCTCTCAAAATGTCTTTCTGTACTGCACTCGCCCTTCTTCCTGTGATGACGTGAGATGATATAACGCCTACCTGATGAGATGAAGGGAGGTGAATGATGTCGGCATTGTGTTGTAGCGTTAGGCTACTATCGACCTCTGAAGATACATCAGGAGGAGGATCACTGGGTCCTGATGATGCAGGCGGTGGCATAGCAGTAGCAGACGATGCCAATGATTGGGGATCCAGCAAAGGGATGACTCACGTCCAGGGCAGGATGGAGTGGGACAGCGTGAGATTTCATCACACTACTCAGAACAGGGTGCAATTTAAAACTTATAAATTGTTTATTTCTGAAATTTTCCATTTAATATTTTTGGACAACAGTTGACCTTGGCTAACTGAAACCACAGAAAGTGAACCAGCAGAAAAGGAGGGACTACTGTATATTTTTTTGTGGGGCTGTTAGGGACAAAGGTTGTGCCTTGTTGATCTGTTTCCCTGAATTTTAGTCTCGTGTTTCCTGACCTCTGTGATACTGAAGTGTGTGACTGGAGGATTCTCCTTTGTGGGGGGCTGTCCTGTGCACTGTTGATGTTTACACACATCTGGCCTCCACTCACAAGATGCCAGGAGCATCCTCTCAGTTGAGACAACCAGAAAAATCTCCAGACATTGCCAAATATCTCCTGGGGACAAAATCAACTCCTTTGGAAAACCATTACTCTAGTCTGATTACTGTGTCAAAGTTAATATTTGGAAAAAAGGGTTGTTGAAAATACCAAATTACAATAGAATTCATTAAATGTAGCATAAGATGCAGCCTTTGGACAATTAATATCCATCAATGTATTTCTCCGTGAAAAAGCAAACTACAAATTTATTCATTAATTTACTTAATCAGTAAATTGAATGAATATACTGTGCACTTACTATGGTTTAAGTAATCTCCTAGCCCTAAATGCAGACTTGTAAGAAAAATAAGTGTCTGTCCTCCTCACTGTGGTTATGTGACAAAGGAAAAAGTCTTTCAAAAGCACCTACACACACAAATGCACATAGATTCCCGGCTAGCAAATGCAATCATCAATCCGTGCATTGATTAATTCCTTTCACAAGAACCTACTCTTGCTGCTCTGTGTCAGATGCTATCATGCCTGGTGCATGGATTATGAAGTTATATTAGACACAATTCTTGCCCTCAGGCAATAGCAGGTTGAGAAAATCTGGTACACAAATGAGTGCAATAATATATTATTTATTCATGCAATGAATTTTTAGGCAGAGTGTGGCATACTGGTGATATGATATTGAGCAAAATTAATACCATCTAATGCAGCTAACAGTCTAGAAAAGATGAGACACAAAATGAGAAATAAGGCAGAATATTATACTGGGAGCAAGGAATCCCATGGGGGTCCAGGGTGTACCTCTCTTAGATTAGGGGAATATCTGTGATGATTTTAACACATGCTTCTAAGTTCTTTGACACTCTTGTCATAAAACATGGAGTCTAATTCACCTCCTCTTGAATATGAGTTGGCTTTACTGACTCACTTTTAATAGGATGTGGCAGAAGTGATGCCATGTGACCCATGAGACTAGGACATTAAAGATAATAGAGCTCTGCTTGCCTCTCTCTATCTTGGACCCTGCCCTGGGAAGCCAGCTGCCATATTGTAAGGAAGTTCAGGTGATACGGCTTGGCTGTATATAGGTATACAGGATGATAGCATCAATGTAGCCAATGGTCACATTAGTGACTAGTTACCAGACTTGTGAGTAGGTGAGCTTTTCAATGATTCCAGCCTTCAGGTTGCCCTGTCTGGGGCTTAATGGAGGAGAGAAGAGTTACCTCTATGAAGTTCTGATCAAACTGCAGATTTATGAGTGAAATAAATGTCATTGTTTGAAGCCACTAAGCTTTGATGTGGTTTGTTACAAAGTCACAGTAACCTTAACAATATCCTATGGATTTGATAAAAATTTACTCAGCTCAGAATGCACAAAGTCTACTTTGAGTAGTTCAGGCAAGATTTCTTGCAACATGAATGCACAGTCCAATAAATATTAGCCAGGCAGAGAGCCAGGTGGCATGGCTCACAGTTTTAGCACCAGGAGCAGCATAAGCACAGAAACGAAGACAGGAGCTAGTGTGTCTGTTTTGTGAAGTGTGAGTGTTTGGCCTGGCCTGCCCACTGAGGACAGGGCTGGAATGGAAGAGTCAGAAAAAACAAAGCTACATCCAGATATGGAAAGCCTTTAAAACATTTCTTTGTTATTATGGAACAGTACACATAACATAAAAGTTATCATTTTAACAATTTTATAGTGTGCAATTCAGTGACTTTTAATACTTTCACAATGTTGTGTAACCATCACCACAAAACATTTTTCACCCCCAGAATCCCTCATACCCAATAAACACTACTCCCCATTCCCTGCTCCTCTGCCCACCCAGTGCCCTTGGCAACCACTGGTCTATTTTCTGTCCG